ATAAATGACAGAGAAAAGTTTCTACATTTTTGCATAATTAGTCAACTGTTTACCTATAAACTTGTTAAGAAATTACAAATTTTAGTAAGGTCTGAAGTTTACTTTTTTGCATTTTTATTTTCCTATTTAAGTTCCTTGTCTCAAAAATGGAGATGGTTCTTTACTTTGTAAACTTCTTTACAATATAAATTTCTTTATTAATGTTTAACATTAAGACATATTTCCTGTGATAAGCCGAGAAAAAAAGCACAGAATAATCTTGTCTGATAATGAAGTCAGTATTGTACTCTCTGAATGCCATGGTTTAAATTTATTTTGGTTTTGGACTGCATAGTGCCATAAAACAATTGTTAGAGGTGCACTGGTTAGTGTGTTGTTTTTTGTCTAGATCTATTATAAATATACACATACACTCAACAGATTGGTTGATGATATATAACACGTTGTTATTCTATAGATATTATGATATATAATATTCTTCATATTTTGATGCCAATGGATGATTTGAGCCGCGTCACGACAAAACCAACGTAATGCGTTTGGGACCAGCATGGATCCTGACCAGCCTGCGCATCCATGCAGTCTGATCAGGATCCATGCTGTTCGCTTAGAAACCCTATTACAAGTAAAGAAACTGATAGCGAACAGCATGGATCTTGATCAGACTGCACGGATGCGCAGGCTGGTCTGGAGCCATGCTGGTCGCAAACGCTTTACGTTGGTTTTGTCGTGACGCGGCTCATTTTATTATTCCATTGCTTTCAGTGTGATACATCTAAGTGATTCTAGGATTTTCAATTAGTATGCTTTTATATAGTATACGTTAAACTGTTACTGTTACATCTACATGTGTTCGTTACTTAGTGGTGCAAAATATCAGAAATGATACAGAAAGAGATAAACATGTATAAATATACAGCAAGAATTATATATTGGACTGATATTAAGGTCATATTGGATTTGCAAATTAATAAGTTTTGGCCTCATGTTAATTTTGAAAGACTTTGAAAAATTACCTATTATTAGCTTGTGTATTTATAAATATTGAATTTCCTATAAAATACACATGGGTAAGTTTTGATCCAATATTTTTACAAATGTATACAGTTCAATATATCAGTTACTAGCTGGGAAAGACTTAAATATACATGTTTAACTATCATTAATTCTTCAGAAGATAGTTAGGATATAATGTTTTTACATTGCTCACAAGATTTTTAGCATTAGAAATATGGCCCAATAGAAATGGTATGTGTTCCTTTTTTACCATCCATGAAATGGATTATGTGATAAAAGTAAAAATACACGTGCATAGACTTTAAAGTCTGTGACATGTGATAGGAAACAACTCTGTGATGATTGGCTGTAATCTTAATATTTGTGACCAGTCTAAAAACATAAGTATCTGATTGGTTAATTAACAGTCATATCTTGAAATTGACCAATGGGAAGAGGTGATATTGTTTAGACTGGTTTATCAAGTCATATATTGTGATTGATGAGTGATATAGAACTGTGTGATATGGTGGTTTTAACACTGTTTGATTTCTGTGTAGCCAACCAAATAAGACTCTATACATGTATTCTATTATCTTTGTCAAGGTCAAAGATTTTAAATAATTTACTGATGGAAATGTAAGATAATTGCAATTTAGGGAATATGGGAGAGAAATTTGTTTTTTTGGTTTTTTTTCATTTTCTTCTGTCTATCAGGGTCTTTCTATTTGAAAGACCCTGTGTACAATTTGATAAGTAGAAATGCTACAGTGTTTGAGAACGAGAGGGAAAGAGAGAATCTTGAATTAGATGTACTTTAGGTGTACTTTAGATGTACTTAAGGTGTACATTAGAGAATCATATTTTTTCCATGTCATTTAGGGCAGAGATATAAAAATTATAGTTAGTTTTATAATGTATGTATGTATTGAATGTTGTTATGCTGTTATTTTTGTTAATAAAAACTTTTATCATGTGCAAATCCATTATTTAACTATCTATTGTTTAACAGCATCTGCCATTGTAAGTTAAAGTGAACAAATTTGTTATAAGAAAATATGTTTGATATAAAAGGAAGTACTTTTTTTTTCTAACTTTTTTAAAACAAAATACATGTATATATAATTGTTGTTTTTTTATGAAATATTATAAATATATGTTGTTAAAGTATATCTAAAAATAATTGATAAGATTTTATAAAACACTTCGGTAATGATGTTTCTAGTTTTCTTTCATTTTGTTTACACGATATTAAACTTTGTTACAGTATATTTGTTCATAATTGTTGTATATATGTGTTAAAATGTGTTCTTACATGTGTAATAAGTGATTCATTTCATTATATAAGAGACAGAAGAAATAGAGAACGTTATAGATAAATGATTAGAATTTATACCAAATACATGCACATGTTTATATGTTTAAGTATATTTGTAAAATATAGTACTTGTTTTCCATTTACATTTCATAGAAATTGATAATCAAATGTCAAAAACTTTCATATGAAAATACAAGCAATAATGCCAGAAATTTGCAAGGTCTGTAATTTACATTGTCAGAAGTTACCCTTTTAAAGTTTGACCAAAGTTAAATTCAACATATTCACCACCTTTCTTGTATGTTCGCTGAGTATGATGATATTCATCTTCAACCTCTGTCTTATTGCAAAGGGAACAGTATTTTATTTTAAATTTAATTATAGTGAAATCCAAAATATAGAAAGAAACAGAAAATTGATGAAACATACACCATATTTTATTTCTGGCATTTATTGACTTTAATAAAATAGAATAACTTTAGTTTATTATTTTCACATAGTTTTGTACTTCATTCATTTTCTAAAGCGTCATTGTCTCAAATTCTTGTATAGTAGATTGATCGTAATGAATAATTTGTTATAAATTGATAAAAGGGTAGTTCCCTAATATGACAATAAAATATAAAACGCCTTCTGTTGTTAGTATTTCATTCAGGATACTTCTCAATGAAATAGACTATAAAGAACAAAATGCAGTACTTGCATGTTATATAAACTTTCAAATATAGGGATATAAAAAATAAACGTACATCTAACAAGTTCGGCATACATCAGTTACAGTGTGTGTGATAATTAATTACTATGCGTAATATAGATTTTATTTCACAGCCAGTGTTTCAATGGTCATCATGAAATAAATGCACTTGAAGCACTAACTTGTAATACTGATCTATGTCTGTGGCACCTGTGGTGAAGCAACATATTAGTATTGTTCCTGCTCTCAAATACATAACACACTGTTGCTGTGGGCAAGACTCCAATAGGATTTATTGTCGGTGGAGTATATTTTATATTTACTAATTTCACCATAACATTCAAAAATTCACTTTAAATGACTTGAAAACTTTTGATTTAAACATTTGTAAATATACTATGTAGTCCCGCAACAATGCATCAAAACTTGCATATTCAGTCCATTTCAGTCAAATTCATGTAAAATATTTATGTTTCACTATTACCACGTTACATGTTCCTCCTTGTTAATTTGTGTCATACCGCCTCCGTGGTCGAGGGGTTAGAGTCGATGACTTCTAATCCAGTTACCTCTCTGGCGTGGGTTCGATCCCCGGGAGATGCTTTGGTAGTTTAGCGCGGAGGAAGGTAGTCTAGTACTGGTGTAACTCTCCAGGAACGATGGTTAGGTAACTACCCGCCTATATGACTGAAATACTGTTGGAAAAAGGCGTAAAAATGAAACAAACAAACAAACAAAAATTTGTGTCATAATCAGTAGAGTTGATACAAACACAAAACTGATTGATAATGCCTGGCAGAGCCAGACGTCTTTATTGTCTAAGAATAGATTATGATATAATCAAAAGATTAACCAAATACTTATGAAATCAATGTTAAATATATGCAGAAAAACTAAAGAGCTATACAATTTAGAGTGTGTCCATGCATTTAATGTTGATTAAACATATCAAAAACAATTCACATAGGATGCAAATTCATATGCAATAATACCTAAACTATAGAAAGAAACAAATTATTTTCAAAATGAAGATCATTGGGTTGTGATGGACATGCAAATTAATCTTGTATTATGCGTGACTGGTTTCTTGTTGATGAGAAATTAATAAATACAAGTAAAATGCACCCACATTTATTAAAAAATAATGAAAAGAATAAAATGTATATTTTGACAAACTCCTCTCGCAGTGATTACCTCCCTTCGCAGATTGCGCTGTACTGATAAGGGGAGATCACTGCGTAGGTTTCAAGGTTTATTTGAATACGTCAAGGCCCATATGGGCATGTGACAACATAAAACAGTACATACATACAAAATAATACAAAATGGCAAATAATATGTAAAAACAAAATACTACAAAATGGCAAATTATAAATAGTCATACAACTCCATGATGTAATAAAATTACAGTAATAATTGACTGATAATGGAGGATGAGAGAGAAAAATCAAAAATCATTGCGAGAAAAAAAACAAAGAGAAAAGACATAAATCTAATAAGCTAACATTATTTAAATAATAACATAATATTTTTTGCAAAATATGGCAAGTTTCAAAAGGATATCTGTATTACTATGGTTCATTAATTTTTCAAATTTTAAAGCACGTGGATGTTCATAGAAATATTTATCAAGATACAGCTTTCTTGTATTAACTAAATGGAATTCGTCGCCTAAAGAGTTACTGGTACATAGATTACAAGTTCTAAGTTCTCTTGGAATATCATCAAACCTTCCTTTTTCAATAGGAAGTTTGTGATTCATACTTCTAAATTTAAAGAGAATTAAAGCTAAATTCATAGGTAACTTGCTGAGGTATGGCTCAAAACAAAAATCCAGTTTATAAATCCTGTAATTTAGACATTTAATGGAATTATTAATTGTACTTCTCCAATTTTGAGGAGATTGATATTTTGATTCTCGAAGTTGATTTGGATTACCCCCATGTCACGACGTTTGCGTGTGTATATAAATACGTTGGCTTTTTCTGCTTGGTAACAAGTATAATGAATGATAAGAGATTAGAGGTTCGAAAATCATTTTTTAAATGATGTTATTTAAAAAGAGTATAGATTTTACTAAAATAAGTGCAAAACAAATTATAACTTTAAACAACAAAATAAAACAGACAAAGCTTCAAAAAAAAATATAAGAAAAAAAAAACAACAACAAAACATAAAAAAGGGAGCTACGCAGTCTCGATCTTACAATACGTAGGACACGTAGAAGTTACAAATAGTAACTATATATAGTAAGTATCCAATTATAAATCATCTAAATTTAAACCTTAGGCCTATTACCTATTAAGCTATATAACTTTCATTCTAAGCTGAGAACTATTCAAGAGTTCATTTGGCGAGAATGAAATATAACTTGTTTATAGGCTGTTTTGGTAAATGTATGAACAAACATTATATAAAACTACGTCAGAAGAAAAAATATTATAGAATTTCGCAAATTTATAAGGGCACGCCTACTACTTGATATGACCCGGAAAATGCCCAAATATGTTACAAACATTGTGAGAAGGGGATCGAGAGTGCTCACGGTCCATACAACCAGTTTTACAAAAATCGTGAAAAATATTTTGGTCCCTTCTTGTTAAAACACACGCACGCACACACGCACGCACGCGCGCACACACACGCACGTACAGCGAATAACTTATCTTAATTTAACATTTATATTTATTTTAAAATGTTCTTAGTTTCGTTTTAAGACTCGGCTCACTTCAACCTTAATGAAATTCAGATCCTGTCCGTCAAAACTTGTATGTATCTTCTTGACCTCATTATAGGCTTCAACTATTGTATTTCTACAAAGGAAAAAAAGATAAGTATAATATGATTGAATACCATTGTATCAAAAAAGTGAAAACTGATTTGTTGAGGTGTACAATTAAGCGATTAAACATAAATTATCCTGAGGCAATTTCGATTATAACTTATCAGATTTACAGAAAAGTAAAATATATGTACTCCGTCATTGATGGGGTAGGCTTTCGATGATAGAAATAGCATTTTATGGAAACATTAAACCAGTTTTATAAGGACAGTGAATATATATATACAGTAAAAACCCTCAATTAAGACCACCATTCGGACTGGACCAAAGTGGTCTTAATTGCGGGGTGGTCTTAATTGTGGATATTCTTATCATTGCTTACACACGTTATGACCAGGGCATTTTTTAGTCATTTTGTATGAACAAACAATAAGTATCTTTAGCTGCAAATACAATATGAAAGTATATTATAATGTTACATCTGATGGGAAGAAACACATTTCTGAAGAAATTTAATATCAAATTTTCTTTGTTGTGATTTCAAAAGTAATTATTGTATGATGTACATAATTCACATATTATATCAGACATTATTTCTTCAGAAAACAAATGTGCATAAAGCAACAGGAAACCACTATGAAATTTACATTCAACCCTTTTTTCATTTAATATCCCATAAATAACAGATTTAAGTGTCATGCCTAAGAGCAATCAAGCAGATAATAACAACACATTTAAGATCTAGGAAGGTGTTGATTTTAATATCAGTGGTCTCAATAGTGAGGTCAAATAAAGAACAAAATAATGAATTTGGACTGAATTTGGTGGTCTTAAAAGTGGATAAGTGAGGTGGTCTTAATATTGGATCATGTAACCATTGACATAAAGAACAGAAAATTCCGTTCTTTTAAAAACTGGTCTTAAAAGTGGGGTCGTCTTAAATCCGAGGTGGTCTTTAGTAGGGATTCTACTGTATATACATTTCTTGACAATAACCAACCTTTTACCAGATTTGGGTTTTGAAGAAGTGGGGGCGTGTATCTTTAATGACAGGTATATATTACTATTTTATATGATACATTGCCTGCTATGGACAAATCTTTTAAAGCTGCATGCCTCTAGATGAGCCAAATTATTTTTAAGAAAATCAAACTTGAGAAAAATGTAAAAAGATCGAAGATTCAAGCAAAAATAATTTACTTTTTATCAGCGATTAATGGCTGATTTGCAGTTATCACAATACATTGTATTTCTACTGAGTAACTAAAGCAGAAATAGCTATGTTGTTTATACATTATTTATTTTAGTTCAATTGTGTAGGAAGCTGTAAGCTTATAGACACACTTTCGATCCGTTTCTGGAACCCACCAGTATTGAGCAATGAGTGTAAAGTTTCTTGCTCAAGGAAACAACGACTTGCCCTTGACGGGGTTGAACCAATGCGGCTAGCGATCATTAGATTACTATTCCGTCGAATTAACCTATCGGCCATGTCGCCACTAATAGCTTTATTTTGCATAGTTTGTCCTCTTGTTGGCAGTTAAAGTGAATTGTAAGTGTCGTTTGCCTTTGAAATTAGTAAATTGATTTCTTTGTTCAGTTTACAATATTTTACATTTAAATATTTATTATTTTTTATGAATCATGAATCTGGAGGCATGCTGCGTTAAACTAACATTAGTTAACGTTTCATGATAATGATTATGTGCATGAACAGCGTAACATTTTCTAATTTACCTGTTTGAATCTGGAAACTCTGAATTCAATGTAGTAATAAGTCTTTCGAAATTTTCTTTCTTGTTGACTGGCTCTGTTATTGATTGTACAGGCGACATGGTAGCAACAGTGCGTTTATTTCTTGTTTTCTTACTTTTTACCTGCGAACAAATAGTTCCTCTAATTATTTTCCTTCTATATAATGTATATAGGCATATTCGTTGATGTAACTAGAAAATAGAATGTTTACATGTCACAGTAAACTATTCATTAAATTAAAGTTGGACAAGATGTTATTTAACAATTTTTATATATTTAGCTCTGGCAGCCATCTTGTCCAAAAGACCGTTGCCATTGAGCATTTTTTTTTGTAAAGGATTACCTATTGTTCATTCTTGTATCTAGCAAACTAGGAGCTATCGTTTAAAGGTCTTTCCTTTTTTAGCTCTTGCGGCTATTTTTATGCAGACCGAATCAAATGACTTTTTATGGGAACTGTCCTAGGATCATTCCTGAATAGTTTCATCACTACCTGGTGCAAGGAGTTGAGAAGGATATATTGTTTAAGTAAAATTGTTAACGACAGACGAAGGACATTTTGTGATCAGGTCAGCTAGAAATCAAGAGAGTTGTAAATGACCGAAAAAATGAAAGTTATATCATGTGTAAATACTTCATTTAACATTATCTAATTATATTATGACAAAGAAAAATGATTATAATTATAGGTATGCCACAATGCTTCAATTTACTCCGAAAGATCTTATAAATCACACAAATTTTTAAACCTCTTGCCATTCCTCTTCACAGTACGATTCGGACATTTCCGTTTTCTTCGGCTGCATTTCAGACGTCACAACTGAAACCAAAATAAATGAGGTTTCCATTATAATTAACAAAACGGCCAAATTGCTGAAATCGGTGTACATGTAGATTCCTATATGTCTGATTTATTTATTTCAGAAGTTTTATCAGTCTGTTAATGATCCATATTTTTAAAGAAGAAACATTACTTAAGACCACACCGGGACTAAGACTACATCGGTATCAATACCAATTTTCTGTTGTTTCATTTGTGATGGCAGTATGGCCGTTGTCCATCTTTTCTTTGTCCGTCTTTGTTCACAATTTTGTTAAACAACACCTTCTCCTAAACTACTTGATGGATTTTAAGCAAACATCCAAAGAAGAGTCTTTAGGTGGTTCTCTAAATGGTTCAAATCTTGTGTTTTATTTATCACAGGATCTAATAAAAAACTTTTAAAGAACTCCTCTCTCCAGAAACTACAATGTCAAAGGCTTAGATATTTGGCATGTTGCACCATTTTGTGGTAAAGCATTGCCTCGTGGATATCAACAAATGTTTACAAGTGAAGCCCTGTGGTAAAAATGTCCCCACCCTGAGAATCACAGTTAGTTTACATAGACTTGTAAAAATGTCTTAAAGTATTCTTCCATGAAAGAACAATGACCCTGCCCTGGGGTCTCTTCACTTATATAGACTTGTATAGGAAAATACATTAGTGGTGGCTCCACTTATTTGTTTTATTCTTTATTTGACCACTGGTAAACCCCGATTTAGAGCAGACCGCACGCTTTTTGTTATAAAACAGTGAAACCTTACCGCCTGCATGAGTCAGAGCTGTTTGTGATGATTGTTCATTTGACTTTCTACCCAAAGCGTCTGTAAATGTACCTTTACCATTCCTTTTCATCTTAGAAGATTTTTTATTTGCTGCTGCACTTCCATTGAAACCACTTTTCCCCCCTTTATCTCCTCTTTCTTCACATTTATGCTCCTGACATTGTCTTTCGTCCTATCACAGAATTGAAATGGATTGAAAACATAATAACTTTGACTAATAATTAATTATTTTAACTTGTATCTCAGTCTGAGTTTACAAAACGAAAGGAGGGGGTCAGGGGATGGTGCTGGTCACGATCTGGTACATCTCTATTGGTTTCAATTTAATTTATCTAGCAAATGTGTGTTAACTTATGTGAACGAAAGCAAAATAATTTAAACAATCACCATTTCTTTCTTTCCTCGGCTTGAGGATATCAAGTGACCTGCAATAAGAACATAAATATCTCATTTATTTTCATTTTAATTACAATTGATTTAATAAGTACAAAATGAATTTTATCACTATATTTATAACAAATGAAATCATACTACTGAGTAAACCTATGCTGTTTTATTTCATATTTATACTTCGTGATTATGAATAACTCTGATGAAGTAAACTTTATACTACTATATAGTATCTAAGTTACAACAGATCAATAAAATGCAGGAAAAGTAATGGTGTATATTGTAACAAATAATTGATAGCATATTTTCATTTTTAAATAAGATTTCATAATAAAGAAAAACCAAACTGGTCTTTAACTAACATATAAAGTGTATTGAGAGAGCCAAGTAAAGCATCAATTTGAATTACGAAAAATATAAAATTACGAATGTTTTCGTCGTAATATTGTTAATATTGTCTGAGATAAGTGTTTATTTGATCTTACTACATGTATAAATCGTTATGTACTGCCGCAAGGCAAACAATTGGGATATCTGATAGTAACATCAAGTTTCGGCTATCTGGCTTTATCAAACGACCCTCACACAATTTGGTGCAGGGGTCTAAGTTATTAGATTTAATGTCGCCACCTTACCTAGAAGTTTTCGCCTCTTATTAAAGGCTGCTATGAAATAAATATCATATCATACTGAAGGTTGTAAAAATGAGATATTCACCATCGACCAGGTGATTTTGGCATCAGTTATTTTGCGGGTAAACATTCAATTCTATCACCCTCAGTGGATGTAACATTTAATATTTTACTTGATAAACTTACCTTGTTGAGTTGATTGTACAATCTCTGAGAAGTTCTCAACGCATTCACTCTTTACCAATACTTGTGACACCTGTCTTACCGTTTTCCGGTCTGAAATATTTGATTAGTACAACAAACATTGTATTGGAAAGCCAGCTCAATTATAAATTACAAACCTAACTAAGAAATTACTTACATATCTTTTGATTTTGTGTTATGACTGTTCAGGTTTTTTTCTGGACATAGATACTAATAAATGATTATATGCTCATTTTTTTCTAAAAAGTCACCAAGCATCAAAACAAGTTAAAATCTAACTGAAAATGGAAATAAAATTTAGAAGTACCGCCTCCCATAATATCTAATGCTACCAGTGACATCCACGAGAATCCAAGTACAAATGTGACCTTTCGATTGCTTAGATACGAAAAGTTTTCCGTTGTGTTTATTTTAAACTCGTACGTTTTGCCTTCGTAATCTACCTGTAACAATAGATAAAATACACATTTCAGATGAAAATCTATACTGACACCTAGATATCTGAAATACCTTAAAGAAATACAAAATATCTTGTTTATGAGATGAAACATTTATTTGATATCGACACTGTTGATTTTGTTTCTATATGAATAATCCTACAATTTTTTAATTGATTTATAATTTCCTCATTTCATTTTCATGTCCTGTTAACTTTTATGTCAAAAGTATCTGTCAACATTTTTAAGAAAATCAGTTATAAAAATTCAAAATTTTTGTTTTAAACATATTTATTTCTAAAAGAATATATAATGTACATACAAATAAACAACAAACAAATTATATTTACATTATGGAAAAGGATGAGAATGAAAGACAAGTCTTATAGAATTCTTCTCCTTTGGCGAACAATATGGTTTGTCTTAAACAAGATGATACATTGTAGTTATGATATACTAGACAAGGGAATAAGTATCATGTATATTTATATATAAACATATATAAGGTAGATTTACATTTTTACAAGAAGATGTCTAAATAAAAGAATATATATATATATATATATATATATATATATATATATATATATATATATATATATATATATATATATATATATATATATATATATATATATATACATAAAAGAAGAAACAAAAACAGTGGGAAAACGGAGAGAACAGATGAAAAGAGAGGATTATAGTCTAAAACCAACATGTTTCAATCATAAAAAAATAAGTAAAACCAGGTTTTATGTCATACAATTTAAACAATACCTTTGTTGTCACAGTACGTCCATTCGGATCAATAGTTCCTGCCAGTCTTGTTAGACAATTCTCGAAAATTGGGTGACGCCAATGATCATCAGCCTTTACCTCTCTTCTACTTCGTCCTTCTTTTGATTTGATAGCCTGTCTCCATCTTCGCCGAAGCATTTCTAAATCAACAATATCATTTCCAGGATTACTTCTTGATAAGGCAAAGAATAGCTTCGGTTTTCGAAGGCTTAAGTTCTCTCGTCTTGTGATCCCAAATGTTTCAAAGTAAAGCTTCTCCCATTCATCAAGGAAGTATTTATATGTTGAAGGATTGGAAATGTTCCCAAGCCTTTTTCTGTCAGGAAGAGGCCAATGTAAAAGTGCATAATAAAGATAGGCCTCCAAGATTTGCTTTTCTCCTTTTGTCTTATTTCTTTGTAATTCCATTAATTGTGTGCTGTATTTCAGCAACTTGTGATAATGCTTTTCGTCACACTGTGTCAGATTATTAGATAATATGATAATGTGATATCCAATAAAGACAAGTAAGTCTCTCTCAGATTCTCTTGTATCATTTTGCTGCAAACGCCGATCAGCATCCTGCGCACGTTTTTTAAGTATATGACTGTGCCTTTTAATTTCATGGGCTTGCATTAACATTTTTAGGCCTACACTGTACATAAATTCAAAGTTTAATGTGTGCTCCTTACTACCATAAAACCTCAGGAACCTTTCTCGCGGTTTCAACAATAAAACATCTTTTCCTGGAGTAATTACCGATACCAAATGGTTACGTGTCATGTAGGCCATCGATTCAAGACGCATCAGAGTTTCTTCCATATGTTGTTGGATGATTTGACCTTTTCTAAAAAGAAGCAAGTCGTCTGATTTTTGAAGAATATTTTGAAAACTTGAGTTTTCAATATCAAAAACAGGACAATTCAAAAACTGCCAGAGATTTTCTTTATCTTTGAAGCATTCAAAATGATGAAGCTGTTCTAGCATTTGCAATGCAGTTATTACTTCCATATTGAAGCAGTTAGTATGCGTGAAATCATCATTTGCTTCAGCCGCCTCTTGAGCTTCCCTAAACTTTTTGACAGAACTGACAGCAAACTCAACAAACTTCACTGCAACTTCATCCCCAAGAGAATGGCATGCATTTTCTTTAATGACTTGTTCCATTTTTGATTTGAAAATCTGTCCATACGTATCCAAAAAGTAGGAGTTTTTTGGAAATATTTTCAGTGAGCGAAGTATAGCATGTTCAGCAGCTTCGTAGTTTCCAATATGATTATTGAATCTTGCGAACTGCTGTCCAATGTTTGCATCGTTTGTAATATCAAAGCACCCACCCATAATTTTAACAACACGTTGATTTGCCTCTTTCCTTGTTTCACCAGTCAATGGTCGTTCCAGTCTAAGTATCAAGTCAGAAAATTTAAGGATTTTTTGTTCACCCCTTTCGTCTTCCTGAACTTGTCTTGTTTTGAACAAACTACATACTAATTTGACAAAACGTTTTGACATGCTGTTAGTTTCCTTCGTGTGTTGTTTCAGCAAGTCGAGCAAACTTAAAACAATATCCTCAAAGCATAACTTCTCAGCATCCATAATATAGTTAAGGACAGATTCTGCTAAAGGCTGTGACAATATACAAACTGCATTATAGCAGTTTGCCTCTTCAACTCTACGATGGGTTATTAACAGTTGCAATGCTTCTGAAATATTGATATTCCAAGTTTCCCTTTCAATAGGTTGCATATTTGCCCGACTTCTCGCTGACCACACCAGACCGAAAGGTTTTCCAAAGCATTGTCCAATATTCAATGTGTTTGAACTGGGCATGCTTCCAATCATAATGGAGTCAAACACAGTTTCAGGAACAGGATGATCACTTTCAAATGTGCAAATGAGCGACAGATACTTCATAAGATTCATCTCACTGTTTAAAACTTCTTTCATAAGTTCCTTTGTAGTTTCAGCAATGTACTCACTATCAAAAGAGTGCCGCATAACATTAAATGCAATTAGTGTTTTTACATTAACATTGCTATTTTTTTCAAGTTCGTAAAATTTTTTGTCGAACCATGACCTTTCATTTATCGTGAGATGGTGCCTCAGAACAATTTCCCTTGACTTGTGAGAAACCGGTACTCTAGATATAATAAGTAATATGCAAAACAAATTACCTGGTGTACCACGTTTGTAAGCAATTTCATCAAGTCTTGGTTTGAGGATACTGAGGTGGTCTTCACTCTCATTATCAATCAGTATCATTACAGGTTTGGTGGGTCCATCCGGTTCTTTGAAAGAATGGAAACGGTATATCTCTTCTGCTGTTGTCTCCGTTATTTTGTTAATGATACAGCACCTATAAGCTGTTTCTGGATGATGTGGTGATATTTGACTGAAATGCCAAATAAGGTGTCTTCCTAGCGTACTCCCTCCTGCACCTGGATGATGTTCAATAGTATGTATTTCATATTTATTTTCTCTATCCATTGACCTCATCTTGCGATTGATTTCGTTTTTGTGACTTTCAAAAACATCCCTTACACCGACATGATTTGAGTAATAAAAGTTCCACCACGTTACAGCGTTTCCTTTATAAAATTGCCTTTCCTCTTGTGAACGACGTTCTTGCCATTCTGTTTCAGTCATAGTTGACTCTTGTAAACGACAGTTTTCTTCTGCAAGTCCATCCACTATTTCAATGTCATTCAATTTCAAGTTTTCTTTTTCATCGTTTGACATCTCTACAATGTTGCCTTTACTGTCCGGAAGTGTGAACGTTTTTGTTTTCAGTTGATTGAAAACGGTTTTCGCAATAGAAACTATGTCCCCCCATTCCAATCCTGTCACAAGTTTCCCTTCTAAATCTTTTTTTCCAACCAATGGACTTAATTCTTTCCGCCATTCTTGGACAATGTCATCATTTTCTGCTATAATAATACATTCGCCTCTAAATGTAGTTAGGAAACAGTCTCTTGCAATTTCAAGCATTGGATCCCGCTCAACAAAACTTTGGAAAACGAGAAAAATTACTAAACCTCTGTCAGAGGGGATCTGTTGGCGTATATTGCTAAGCGTGTTCCTTATGCCATCAAGTCTTTTTTTATACCATAAATCAATGTTCATTGGTCCTTTACCTAATTCGTCATTGCCGTTTGAATAAATCCATAATGTTCTATCCCAAAGCAAATCACTGTCATGTCGAGATCTTTTTGAGGACGAATCCTCCGCCAATTTTACTTGAAAAATGTACTTCTCCTGTTCAATACTGTTTCGCAATTCCACAGATGAACCAAAATCAAACACTGCAGCACAAGAGGTAAATGCAGCTGTCATTCCTTTTAGATGCTCTTGAATCCTCATTTCATTTTCACATGTTCTGTCACCACAAAACATGACAGGCGTAAAAGCATCAGTTACTAGTCTGTTCCCGCCAGTCAATAATTTCATCAGTTGTTGTCGTTTTAGGACTGCTTTGTGAAGAGTTACGTCCATTGATGTAAGCTCCTTTTCAAGTTGAATTCGTTCAGTCAATATTTTTTCTAGATCAATCTTAACTGCGTCTAACCGAGATTCTTCAATAGTTGTTATCATGTTCTCTTTATGAATGAAATATTTTTTTCGCTGGTGGCCTTTTGGAGGGAACATTATACCAATTATTTCCTTATGCATGTGGCCTGAAAATGAAACAACATCTACCTCTATCACTACCTTGCTATTTTCAACGTTAATAATTTGAACAGGTCGAATACATCGTTCTGCGATAGAAACGGCAGCCTGTTCGAAACAAATTTGGACACAGTACATTATTTCAATGTTAATATTCTGTCCAAGGACAAACCAATCTTTTGATAAACCAATAATTTCACCATTTCCATTTCCGACGTCTTTTATTCCAAAATGTATTGTACCATTCTTTTTTCCATTTAAACAGGCAGTTGCAAATCTGATGACTTCTTTTCCAATGAAAGCGCATGTCAATTGCGATTTCGGTCGCGGAAAAACAAATTCGTGAACAGGAATCAACAGATTACCAGAGGTGGGCCTTACAATGCATTGCTGATATTCAGAATTTTCAAAAGGTCTATCAAACTTTCGCAAAATATCATTCTTTTCAAATGATGACCTCATCGCATGTCTCTTAATAGTTTTCTGTAATTCTGTCAAAGCCGAACGAATTCCATATCCAAATTTCATATTAGCTTCTTTTAGTGTCGGACTGAATATCTCTTCTACCTGGCTCGGTGTGAGGTTTGAAAATATTGATGATGAGATACATTCATCTTCAACAGTTGTCTCAAACAGTAACCCTATGCCAGTTCGGTGTTTTTCCATTTGTAAATTCAAAAACTTGCTAAATTTGTCACTCGGCATATCCGACAGACTATCGTCTATCTCTGAAAATATTACAACAACGATGGATTAAACATTAAAACGATAGCCACATGTGATAACTACTCATGAAAAAGAGTGTGTCATGTTAAAAAACCCTAAACATTCGGGTTCGAATGAAATAGGTATAGATCCATAATTGTTATTAGTCATCTTAGCCATGTTTACTAAGGCTTTATGATTCGGATAAGAAAAAAAAGAAAAAAAAAACATGTTTATACTCATCGATTTAAAATTCAATATTAATTAATTAGATAAAATTTGATTAAAAAGCACGTTCATGAAATATTAAAATAACTTTACAAGATTTAGGTATTTAACAGTTGATCTTTCTTATTTTGATGCGAATATTCTTGTATTTTTATTTAATATTATTAAGGGGCGTCCGTGGCCGAGTGGATAAGGTCGTTGACTTCAAACCGCTTGCCCCCCACCTCTGTGGGTTCCAATCCTGACAGGGACTTTGGATTCTTTCATGTGAGGAAGCTATCCAGCTAGCTTACGGAACGTCGGTGGTTCTACTCAGGTACCCGTTCGTGCCTGAAATAATGCACGGAAGGGCACCTGAGGTCTTCCTCCACCAGTAAAGCTGGAACGTCGCGATATGACCTATACTCTGTCGATGTGACGTAAAACCCAAAACAAACAAACAAAACAAACAAAAAAATTTAATATTATTCCTCCATTATATCCCAAATATGATTGTTCTTTTCAATAAACGATGTACATTTTTATATACCATTTCATTTTATAAAAATACAACCGAATTTTGTTTCATGTGTAAAGCAATGAAAATATTATCAGGTACATTTGACCTTGGTCCATATTTTTCTTTGTGAACATGGGGACAGGATGCCACGAATGAATTCATTCAATCGTTATAAAATGCAGTGAATGTACCTTTTAAAATATATATGGCCTTAACTTGTACATTTTTAAATATGAATAGCATTAGTTTTTATTATAATCATCAATTTGAACACTTGTGCAACATTACCTTTGGAAACAGTTTCCTCATTTGTACATCTATCACTTTCTAACCAAGTCAACCCATGAAACCTACAAAACGAAATATTGTTATATAGATGATTTAACTGATGCAATTTAACACCAAAGATCAGAAAAAATAATCTAATTTAGTTGTTTCGGACATATTTACTTACTGGCTGTCATTTTCCTTGCAAACAACGTCAGGAAATTGTTCCTCCACACATGCCTTTATCGTGTCAAATTTGGAAAAGTACCTTCGTTGCTCATCTACAAATATGTGAACATCTTCGCAAGGTAGGCTCTTTGAGACCTCATAGACAAAGGCAGAAGTTAATATCTTCTTGATAGTATCATATTCCACTTCTTTGAGAGACTTTTCTGCAATTATATAAATCTTTATAAACGCAAATGATATGGTATTGGTAATAGGTAAAATATGTGATTGTCTGTATGTTTGTGTCACGATAAAAGTGATACTGAAGAACTGGTACCAACATTGAAAACAATATGTTTATTTATTTCCTAAAAAGCAGATAGAGAGCATAGACTCCTCACTATACTTGCTACATGTAACAGCTGAATAATCTATAAGAATTTCTTCAATTTTCTTACACAAGTGCGTTAAATAGCAGAAACAATAGTGCAGATTTGACAATGGTTATAAGAACACACCGTGTTAGAATAAATTTTGAAATTATATAATAGTAGTATATTTTGCCAATCAAACTTTTCAGCGTTTCAATGATAAACGGGAGTGTACTTGTAATAATGATGCAAGGTTTTCCTAAAGTAATATTTTCAAATGACTTATTCCTTATGATTTATAAAAATAATACTCAAAATGGAGATGACAGTTATATAGTGCCCTGCAGTGTACGGTTAGATATGACGGTTAAATTTGAGAATTTTTATTCGTTGAGAACTACTTTTACCCTTTATTTTGCGCTAATCTGACACTAAACTAATGGCAAAAAGAATCTCAACGAACCTATATCTACTTCCGATTGATGCCTGAATAAAACCAAATCAGCAAGTAAGCTGTTGAGTTTTTGTAAACAAGCGAAGCACTTCAATATTTTGTCAGCTGCATCTTCTTCTACGATATGAAAAACAAGGAGATTCATCTGTTCTTCGTAATTGTATGTTTGCTCAAGTTTTCTTTTTGTCTTTTCATCAATGACTTTCTCACGATACAATTCTTGTACAAACACGTCGATTTCAAGATAACGAGATAATGTCCGTGCAAATTTAGTCAAACCATACTTAATCCATATATCATCCTTGTGGTCAACTGAAATCGAAAGCATGCATCTCATTCATTCAATGATATTATTTTATTAATTCATATATTGCCACTTTCTTTGTTATATCAAAAACTTTATTCAGTGTAATTATAATTATATTTTAAGATTATTAAATAAACATTATTAAGCATAGAATAGAGGTAAATTAAGTATTTGAATACTGAAACTTTACCTTTTTGAGATTTCCCACTTTCTACTAATTTTACCATCAATGATTCATTATGAAGTTTCACAATGTCAAGATTACTATGCGTACACACAAGTTCTCTTTTACTCAGCTCTTTGATTTGTATTTTGATATTTGCTTCAAATTCAGGACTAACACCCTTTGATAGGTCAATAATAATCTGACTGGCTTCATTGAAAGGAATGTCGTCGTCAAGTTTCGCGCCCGATTTGTGCGCAAGCTCATTTCTCTTTTTCCGAAGCTTCTTGATATTAGTTTCCTGCGCTTTAATAGGCATTAATTCTAACAAAAGTATTGTCAACAATGAAATATCCATGCAAAGCAAGTCAGGTTGTTTAGCATTCAACTGTTTAACCTGTTCGCCATAAAGTATTTTTTGCTTCTTTAATTGTGCCACTTTGTTCTGTACTGCAACACCTTGCATATATTTTTTAAAAGTTAAACTTTTTAAATCTAACTCCTTGTCGATGAGAGCTCGGAGAGTATCTGAACCACAATCCAAGTTCAGTGATACGGCCCGATGGTATTTCTCAGACTTTTCTAGCTCAGTTAATGTTTTTGAAACACTTGTCATGATGGGGCTTTTCTATCTAAATAGTTCATCTATGATAGAGATTAATATAAATCAGCAATATGTTGGGCCAACCATGATACTTCAAAATGCGGGACTAAATTTAACCCTGAAAAACAAGAATTGTTACTATATATTATCGATTGCTTAAATATCATTTGTTTATCTATCATGTACATCAATACCTTTTGATTTATAACGAGTGATAAAAAGTATGTACGTAATTACATACAAAAATGTAATAGTTACAATGCCTAATAAGAATGTATCATTTAAATTCAACATATATAGAAAGGATATAACTTTTATAAACTGCTCAAATTTGATATAACAATAACAGTATGGTAAACAAAAAGTTGACACCTACGTCTATTGTTTTGTTTTTATATGGGGTAATAGTTTTGGCAGTTTATGCACGGTTTATGCACAATGTATGCACGAATTGACATATAGGTGTATCAGATAAAGTCATTCGATGTACGTAAATCAGGCTATGTCATTGTTTGTAAGTTGGAATATCATTTGACCCATTATTAGAGTCATGTCCAATATGGCATTAACAGCTATGTCATTAATTACTTTACCTTGTATAAACATAATAATCAGTAAATAATAAATAATATGTATTTCGATTATGCTTCTTATTAGCATAACATAATAGAAAAACGGAATCCTAAAGAACGCCCAAAACCGAAGTACATTGTATTGAAAATATTGCAAGCTAAGTTTCATGACGGTATTTAAAATTGTAAGCTACCGTCCACACCCCTTCCCTTTTAGTTGAAAATATTGCAACTTTGAACTTGAACATACGCAGATGAGTTCATACGGCGGTAATCATGGAACATTTAATTAGCATTTTTATTCCATTCCATGAATAGCGGGTTATGTTCCCCAAATAAAAGAATGCGTTTGTCCTAAACGGGAAAAGGGTATAACTACATAAAAGGTATTTCGAAAGAGGATCAGAGGTAATGAAGCCTGCATATTATAGTTGAAGATCAAGCAGGTGATTTAACAGTATTCAAGTATGAATTCGGGTACCACCAACTAGAGAAAGATCAAGTAGGAGAATCTAAATCCATTACAATCACAACAATAATTCCTACTTAGCAATCTTCAAGGATCAAAACATAGCGTTTTTTTATTGAATGTTCTAGCAAATTCAACAAAAATAACAATATGGTAATTTAAGAATACGTCTTAGTGTTTCACCTAAGATATGAATATAGTGCATTTTAAGCACATATAATATATAAGGATGGTGCGAAGCGAACGCTAGCTAAATCAAGATACATTAAAATGACTGAGCTACTTCCTGATACACTTGTATAAGCAATGCATTTATTTATTTGCGGTGCATACAAAGTGTATTTTCTTTGCAATTATATGGTTAATAGTTATGGCTGTTTATGTACGATTTATGCACGAATTGACACGTAGGTTGATCAGTTAAAGTCATTCGATTTGCCTTGATCAGGCAAAGTCATTCTTTGTAAATTATGTTATCATTTGCATGATTTGACTCATTATTAGAGTCATGTCAAAATCGGCATCCTAAAGAATGCCCAAAACGGAAATATTGAAAATAATGAATTTACGGGGTCGTTTAACGGCCTCGATGCGTCACAAACAAACCTGATGTGACAATAACTGCATCATGTCCAAAGACAAAATTAAAATGCTGCAGACAAGATTTCATTCAGTCTGTTCGTGAATGGTGACGGCAAAATACGTACAAGCTGACGCTTACACGATGAAACGTAATAAATTTCTCAACTATGTATGCTCTGATTTAGTACTTGTGTAAACGAAATATCATACCCGATCGATATATTGTGATTAAGGTATGACGAAAAGGACCGAATAGTTCCGAATTTGAGCGTGAGGTAAAATTAGGTTAGTGCATTTTCAAAAAATGCGTCGACATATTTATTTGGTTAGTTTTAACATGTACATGAACGCAAAGAGCACGTGGTTATTTACCAACTATTGCGTGACTTTGCCGATATCTGAGGGTTCATATCTGAGATATGACTAATCTGAGTGTTGATAAAAGGTTGTATAGTTAACTTGTTTCGTTCCGTTCCTTCTTCAATGCACCACCCATTTAACCCGGGCCACATCCCTGTAGGACCAGCTTTACGTAACCACACAACCGTATTAGACACGACGTAGACGTAGACACGAGTCTCAACAAGACCAAGTGGGGGCTATTAAGACTATTCTGTAGTCAAGTCCCCGTTGTTCTTCGCGGATGAGAGACAATAGTACCTATCATTCTATTGGTAAAATACTAGAAAAAATATCAAATAAACAAACAAAAAGTGAAAAGGAAGCATAACACACGGCATATGTAATACAAGGGTATGGAGTGCATTTATATTAATTTCAATTTATTTCAACTTAACGATTATTAAAGGTATTGAAGCTATCTTATCATGTCATTAATTAATTAATTGATTAATATACATGCATACTTTTAAATAAAAGTTACCTTTTCCTGCTGAACGTGATCCATATTTAAAAGTTTAAAAACTTCCCACATCGCGTATACAGATTTTAAATCTATTGAATTTGCAAGATAACGCGCAAGGATATCGTTTCATTCAAACTAACCAAAAGCGTGTGTCGATTTACGCGGTAAAGTACGATAGCTTATTAACGCCATGCCTTTTCGTATGAGCAAAAAAATATGAATAATAAAATAAAAGCGCAAGGACGATAAAATAAGATGAAATACGCCTAATGAAATGTGTCCTGTTTTCGCATCTTATCTGTCGTGTCAGAATTTCTATTTGACCTGCTTTTATACAGTGTATTTTTTAATTAATTTTTGCAATTTAATTGATATAAAATTGTATTTTCTTTAATTCTTATGCTCTGATTTTTAACGATATGATCAGACAAACAATTAGATAGATGAACAGACATACATACTGTCAGACATTTGCAGTGAAATTAATGCCTTAAATTGTTATAATGGTATCCATCATCATCAATATGATATGATACGTATAACTATTATCATCATCATTGTCATAAAATTAGTATTGTAGTTGTTGTTTTATTAAGATGAATCTTTGATCATGATTATTATACATTTGTACATGCATTGCTGAGGTTTTAAATCCTATACTTTGCTCTATGTCAATAATTATCTATAAATTGTGAAGGTGTTATTTGTTTCTAGTGATGACGACTCTAATTTAATGTTATCATCTGGTTATCTGTATGCATCAGGCGTGGATACAAGATATTCTACCAGAGGGGGTTATAAAGTTTAGACAAAGGGTAATGAAAATTCCGGAGCCGGAATGGCATTTTACTAGTTTTCTAGTCAATATCTTACAAGTCATGACGTTTACAATCGCACACACTTAACAAAGCTAAATTATATCAAGTTATATTTTGTACAAAACAGCCTAATCTCATTAGGCCATGACCCGTTACTCCCCTTCCTCTGATTGATTACTCTTGCTTATTGTGAAACACGAAAAATGGTCTATAAAAGATATTTCTATTTGTGTATGGAAAAAGGTGTCAAGAACTTTTTAACTGACATCCCCTTAAATTCTCCTGTCTTTCTTTTGTCATATTATGTTATTAATATTCAGCACATGAATCCAGTACATGTATTTATATTATAGTAACTGGTACGTTTTGGCGAGGATTCTAAATGTTTTATAGTACTAATAATTTTTTTTTAAACCCACCTGTGTTAGAATAGTATAATAGTTCTTTTGCATTGTATGTTGTCATGTAATTGTAACCATTCAAATAAAAGGATTTTTGTTGTTGTTCTATCCATGCATGCTGTTTAATCTTCTTCTTCCTATTATAATTATATAACTCTTGCTCTTCTAAAGATAATTAAATGGCAAAGTATATTCACTTAATATACTTTATATGATGCTGATGATGATGTGGACTTTCTGTTAATATTAGTTGTAAGCATTATAATCGTATTGTTTAAAATAATTTATAGACATTATACGATAAATATTCACCCCCCCCCCCAAAAAAAAAAAAAGAAAATCATTACCGTAACATTACTATCACTACAGTAATCATTATACAGATTACAGAAATGAGAGGGGATGATAAATATGACTGTTTCAAATGTTTCAATCTCCCCATGAGTGTTTACTGCTAAAAATCATGATTGATGTTTAAGATTGTGCAGATGTTTGAAAATAAATGCACAATCGCAACTACTCGGCCCTTCCCGTAAGTCTTCAAATAAAGACCTCGAACACAATAGTAGGAATACACAGAACGGATGCGGTATTTCGGTCTAACCTACGCTAAGAAACTAAACATGCAAACAAATTATAATTTAATGCGGGAAGTGCTGACAAGTTTATTTCAAATATTGTTAGTAAGAGTCCACCTAAAATAAGTGAATTCATAGATACAGAAGCAAACAATACAGTATTTCTATATTTGTTACTATGGTTGTAGAAACCGAAAGTACAAAAAACCAACCTGTTGACATTAAGTCGAATTTGTTTAAAATTGTACATCAGTGGGCATATCCCAATTACAAATTGTTGTCAGATAAGTGTACCGAAACAGACTTTACTTAATATATACATTCGTTTTACAATATCTCTGTTTCTGTTTACATCTGAAACCACGTGGTATAACTACTTTCAATTCATATTGTCCGAGGTTATTATATGTAATAGCCGAGAATGTTCCAATTAGAACATTGCTTAAATAATTAAATTCCATGCAGAACTCTGGTTGCTATGGCAACCGAAAGAAAAAAAAAACTTAAAAAATCTTCTTTTAAAAAACGCAGACAGATAGAACTAAGATATTTGTCATGAATTAGCTTCTTGAATGTCTACTAACTTTGTTAGGGCATTAGATGATCTATATTGTCTGGAATCAAAATTTCATTTGACCAAAAGCATCAATTAGTTGCCCAAAAATGTATACGCCCGGTGCAAAAAATACCTGTCGAAGATGATCTATTTGTTTTTGAAATCGATATTGTACCGTTTTGAGGATATATAGATGACTGTTCTATGCAGATTAATTATCCACCTGAAGGATTTCAATGGCGCAAATGTTTTGTTTTAGAAGACACTATGATAAATACTATTGAAGAATAAAAAATAGACGGCATGCAACAAGATTTAAAAACCTTGTACCACGAGAGGCTTTACTTAGAGATGAAAGATATAATGTCATCAAATGAAACAAAAAAATATTGAAGAGCAAAAGAAACTAATGAAATTGCTCACTTGTGGAAACAAATATGTTACGGATGCGTTTATTCCTATTATTTGCTCAGGAGACATATCGGTTTGTCGAAATGAGGATTTTTTACGAAAAAAAATTTCTAGCATGGCCATGGCATTTACTTCTGCCCTGGCTGTATTTGACTTTGACTCATCAGTTGAATTGCGTAATGGTATTGAAAACGGGAACACATTTTTCAATGTGAAGATGGCAGAAGATTTCAGTACAAAAAGATCACGTCGAGAAAGTGATATAAATAATATATGACTTTTCTCAAATGGAAATGAAGAACTTGTAAAAAGTAGCATGACATCTGAATTATGGTATGGCAATAGATTGCCAGGGGTAAAAAATGCATTGCACCAAATGAGGCAACAAATTCCGTTGGGTAGAGGCTTACTCATATATCTTGTTTTTCAAAAGCCAATTGAATGTAATCGGTTACTTGCCAGAGAAACATTTTTAACGTTATTTAAAGGCGAGTGCATTGTGATCACCGACAATGATGAAATGTTACAAGAATGGAGAAAGGAAATGAAAGGCAAGATCAGTAAACAAGATTTTGACAGTAAATTAGTATCTGGTTTGAGCTGGGAAGAAGTAGCTGCAACAGTTAAAAATGTCTTTAAACCAAATAAAGATGTTTTGTTTAAATTTCCAGACAGTAGTGGCAAGGCAGTAGAAATGACACGTGCGGAAATGGATGCACTTAAGTTAAAGGATATTGAATTGGTTGATGGTTTTGCTGAAGAGCACTGTAGTCTTATGGAAGAGGAAGAATCTGATGAAAACTGTAAACGAAAGCGAACTGAAGAACAAGAGAACTTCTATAAAGGAAACGCTGTTACAATATGGAACTTCTATTATGCCATACAAGTCGCAACACGTGATTTATTTGAACACCATAAAGAGGAAATTAATTCCAAGATCTCATCAAAAGGGGGCAAGGATAGATTTACCACACATTACGTCGAGCATAATCCTGGGGCTGGTGGCAGTACTGTTGGCAAACATCTACTCTGGCAGTTTAGCCAGATACGTCGGAATCCAGAAAGAGCATTTAGATGTTGTATTGTACATAAGATTACTGAAGATACCGCAGAAGAAATATATCGATTTCAGGAGTTCAAAGAGAAGCGTTTATCTGATGCTAAACCTGTGTTAGTCTTAGTTGATAACAAAAATGAAGAGCATATAAATTTACTGAAGGCAAAGGTTGATGAAATAGCATACAAAAAAGGTTCACCAGGTAAACTATTTTGTTTGTTGCTTATTGTGACACGAGTTCCTGTCTCACATGCATCTAGAGATGTTGTATTACGACACAACCTTACAAAACGAGAGCAGTTATGGTTTGATAAAAAATTTAAAGAACTTGAATCAAATAACAACATGAAAATTAAAACACTTATTGCATTTAACGTAATGAGACATTCGTTTGACAATAAATATATCAAGGACACAACACAAAGACTATTTAAGGACATAAATGACAAAGAAAAGCAAGTACTTGGATATTTATCAGTTATTTGCTGTTTTGATAGTGACAATCCAGTACCAGAATCGATTTTTGATTCTGTTATGAACGATACTGTGTACGATCCAGACACGTTAACTCTAGAACAGTGTGTGGACAGACCATTTGGTATTGTATACACTCGAAAGAAGAGACAGAAACTTCAGGCAATAGATAGGTAAACACGGAACATCAGAATAACAGATGCAATGCAGTTGCTAATTACTCATCGAGAAATAAAAAGTGATACTCGTCCATTTATGGGTGTATGTTTACTGTCGCAACTATTCTCAAAAGCTGTTCTAGAATACATCATGCAAGTTGATAAGAAAACGTTTCGAGACATGGTAGTTGATCTTCTCAATGTTACCGAGAATCGTGCTTGCGAAACAAACCCAATGTCAAAGCATTTTGTAAAGATAGTTTGCAGTTTGATTACCTCAAGAGAGTCTATTACTGACGAAAAGGGTGAGAAAAAAGTCCAGAAGTTTTCTCCACTATTTTTAAGCCTCGAAGAAAAAAGAAGAAAATGACACTGATGAAAAAGCACAACGCAAAGTAATTGACGTTATAAGCAGATGTTTTAATGTTTGTAAAACGCAATGGTCGGACAACAACTGGTAAGATACTACTACATCGTTTTGACAGCTTTGAGCTTACAGGAACATTTTCACAAGTTTGAATGTTATAAAGATAAAGAGTCGTTTTGGAAATTCTTGAACGAGGATAACATTTGCTTGGAAACATCGCCTTACAAAGAAATTGTTGCATTAGCGCCCACTCTTGAAACTTTTAAGAAAAAAGTGAAATTCAGCATCACTTAGAAATGTATCTTCGTACTCTTGAGGAAAGAGCCTATATGGCTCGCCATTTGAAAACTGTCTTCACACCTTGGGGTGATACTCTTTTATTAAGGCCAAGGGAAAAGTTTGAAATGTTCTATGGGAGTAAGGAACACACGTCCCAGTTCGAATTTCTATTTGGAGTAGGATTAAAACTTCTGATGAAAGCTCACACAGATAAAGAAAGTCGTTGAAAGTTTGAAAAGCGAGTAAAAGAGGCAGAAATACGCTTAGAGAAAAAAAGACTTTACAGAACAAGAGAGGGATTTGTTAGTTTACTTAGGGTACAATATTATAAGGTTGTCCACAGAGGAGATAAATGCCAAGTCAGGTTTATATAGACGCTTGCTCAATTATAGTACTAATTTATGGAAGATACAGCGAAACAAGAACGCAAAAGATAGGAAATATGTGGAAGCTTATCTTTATTATGCGCTTTTGCATTGGATACTACCAGGAAGGTCTGAGTTAGGAATAGAAGGCTTGTCACATCCAGAAACGTATAGTGTTCTCCTTAAAGAATGGGAAGAGACCTACATAGCAAACAGTCATATTAGAAACAGGGAACAACTTTTCAAAGAAAAAGCAAAAATATTTTTTGCGATTGGAAATAGGTCTCCTGGAAACGATATTGTAGATTTAGAGTGGCTTCGACATTTATGGAGAGAAGCAATGTCAAAGCAAGGACGAACAAGAAAGGAAGTGAAGGCTGACAATCACTGGCAACATCCAATATTTGAAGAGCGCCTTGCACGTATAAATGGGACTGTTGACTCAAGTGGGAGGCGAATATCTACAGAGGTAAATATATATATTGATACAAATGATCAAACATATATCCTTATATATATATATATATATAATATATATATATATATATATATATATATATATATTATATATATATATATATATATATGATATATATATATATATATTATATATATAAATGCCGATTTTTTCGTGCGATTTTTTTTATGTATATTTTTTCCGCTCATGACTTCCTTTCTTTCATATATATATATATATATATATATATATATATATATATATATATATATATATATAAATATTATATATATATATATTATATATTGATAATGATATATGTTTGATCATTTGTATCAAACAATATTTTGATACTTTTTCAAATATGACATTATGTTTATATACGGTTTGATATACATCCTGTCAATTGACTCTTAAATGAGCTTTATTCGTATTTGTTTTTTTTAATACACGCACGCACATACCCACGCACGCACGCGCGTGCATCATGTTAAATTTAAAATCAATATTCTCTGTTTACATTTCTGTGTATGTTTTTTTCCTCCTGTTTGCTCAATAGGGAGAACATCGGATTGTCATTTCCTGGCTCGCTTTCCTGTGGCAATAACTAAACGTTAAGTAGTGCAAAATATTTATTTATTTGGATCTATCTGTAATATTATAACAACATATTTCTTTTAATTATGTAATAACTTTTAATGTATCAGATATTTTGTCGATGAAACTTAATAGCAATGGAGATGATGGTCATTAAACCCATTTTAGTCTGTTACTGGGATTTATCAGAAGGGTCAAAAGGTTTGCCCCTCGTTTTTCAATCCGTCGGTCTGCCCTTAGATCACTTTAAAAGTAATCGGAACTGTTTAAACAAATAAACCTAAAATAAAGCAGAGTTACGAGAAGTCCTGAGAAAATTTGATATTCTTTATTTTAGGTTGTATAGGTAGGATACACATTATGAGATTATCTTCATTGATATCTTCCATTTAGGGCACAGTTGAAAGGCCATGGCAATTCAGAATGTTTTGTCATACTTCTTGTGTGGTTCTAACCGGCAGGGGACTTTTGTATTACTTACAATACATTGATTATTGCTTATTTTCCAAGAAGATCATAAAGATTATCGGTAGTTTGTGTTTTGATATTTTAGGTTTGCTTTAACAAAAGGAATTACACATTCAAGATACGCACCAACGAATATTATGAACCCCTAAAAAATCGAGCTGTGACGTTTGTTCTTGCGTTTTCGTGGATGGATCCAGTGGCTCTTGATGTTAGGAAGCATGGTTGGTAATTTTGAATTGTAAATTGTAATCTTTTGATTTTAAAGGATAAAATGACCAGATTGGTAATGATATTTTTTAAAGATGTTATTTCTATATATTCAAGTATTTTTTTAAATTGACTTAATACAGATATACTTAACATAGTCTTGCATACATCACACACTTCTATGAGTTTAAGTGAATACAAACTCTGAATGATTCAAAGCTGACCAAATTATGTAAATGAGTGTATCTTTTACTGTCTCCCATTTTAGCTAGACTTTTCGAAAATGGGGAGAGCAAGTGTACTACAATCAGGCGTTGGTGTCACACTTCGGCTAAGTTTGGCGTGCAAGTTGTTTTTCCAAAAAACTATTGAAGGGAATGGGTTGAACGTCACACACTAATATGAGAGAATAATAAGAGGCCTCTTTCCAAGACATATAATGTTACATGGATTTTGAAAAAAAATTATGCCCCTATTTGAACTTAGAAAACTCAACATATCCAGACTCAGACGCAGTTGTTTTAGTATCAAGCACTGAGAAAAGTCGCTATCGTACCTATTGCCATTGTTATAGTGTTAAATTTTTATTTGTTTGGGTCGTCAGACCAAACAAATAATGGTAGCGAAATTTCAGACTCTAATGCTGTTAATTGAAAATGCCGAAAGTAGTCCGCTTTTTTAAGCGGTTACTTTCCTTAATATGTAACACAAAGGCCGAAAAATTCAGGGGAGATCACTGCGTAAATATGGTCACATGACAGGCGCATAAATTTTTCAAGCAAAATAATTCCCGAATGATCGAAGATTTCTTATATTGTTTTATTCTTTATAGATATACTTGCTTAAAGTAAGCGCCATGATTATTTACACAAGTTAGCGTCGTTACAAACCCTAATTTAGAATAATATGATTTTCTTTATGCCGTTAACATATAAATTCACCGTGTCCGTGTTGCGCGCTCGCATAGGAAGCAAAAGGTCTGGAGTTCAATTCCCAGTTAAGGCAACTATTTTTTTTTTTCAAATTAAACATTGGATTGAATATCAGTGTTGCAATTAGAATTATAGCCAATCTACTACAATTAAAACGCTGGAAATCATTGGTGGCACTATACAAAAACAAATTGTTTTATAATCTCACAACCTTCACCTTTCTGACATTCTGAGACCCAAACAATTTCAGCGTCTTCTGTGCTTTGATTCCTTTAGGAGTATATATCTACTGTTTGGCAATATTGACCCGAGACTCAATTTTCGGAAGTTTTTTTTTCGATAGTTTTCATAATTTATTATATTTTGATAATATTATAGATACTGTTACTAAATCGATAAATTCTGCCTAATGGCCTAGTGTAAAGTACTTCAGAATAGTGACCAAATAATTGCGAGTTCGTATCTTGTACAAACCATTTTTTGTAGTTTTCATACAGATGACTTAACAAATCGTGTGTTTCTAGCATTTTTATTTTAATTTCATAATTTTGATAATATTTAATTAACTTAATTTACCTTTCCATTTTATTAATTTCAGTATATTCACAAAGCACATAATGGTCAAGTTTTACAATATGAAATAAAATTCATACATGAAAAAAAATCTTTGATTCGAACCTACAGTTTTCAACCTAACTGAAAGTCTAACACCTTATCATCGAGGCTAATAAGGCAAGTTATATGCCAGTTTTTCTACGTAACACTACCATACATTAAAATCCGTATGGTTTACTTCAGAATCCGAAAATTACCGACAATAGGTCATTGAATATTCAAATGTCTCAATATTGCCAGACATTGTGATTGAAAGGTTTGTTTTTTTCTTTATCTTTTTTCTTCTTGAAGGCTCAGCTATTTTATTAAACGAGCGGAGAATTCTGTCAAAGTAAATTTTACAAATTATTTTAAGTTTATTGAACATAACAGCCAGATAACCCTTTACCTCATATATACGCGAACAAGGCACTTTCGACCCCCCGGTCTTTTAGGTCTCAAATAGTGAAAAAATGTCCTATTTGGACCCCAAACACATGCTTTCGTTTGAGAAATGTTGTAAAAAAAGTGAGCACTTTTTCGGTGCCGCCCGCAATCCAAAAGATACATCAGGGGGTTGCCAGAAGGATGATGTGCCCCCTTCTTTTTGGGGGTTTGAAGATGGGCGGTAGTCTCCCTCACAGCCAAGAAAATTTTGGACTTGTGAGAGGCTAAAAATGACCCCAGGTCGATCATAAGGTATTGTGTAACCAACGCTGAAAAGCATAGGACGCTATCTCAATCCCTTGAGAAGTTGCAGCACTTTGAAATAAATTTTGATGGAAAAAATCAAGGCAAAATAGTGGTTTTTGGCAATTTTGAGATGTCCTCTCGTTGGTAACAGGACATTTTAGACTGAGCATGTCGTTACAAAGGCAATGGTCCAATCAACATTTGTGCCAAGTTTGATTCTTCATAGTTTCATAGCAGTTTGAACTTGTAACAGGAGGCTTTTCAATGAAAACAACCTTTTTTCACAATATGCTCATGAGGGAAAGGGTTAATGTACTAATACATTGTATATTACATGGATAAATATTTTATTTTTGCTCGCCATAGAACGGGTTGCACACAGTTGAGGCCAATGTTTGTAAACACTAACGTCCGCAGGTGAAATAATACTCCAATAAAGTATTCCCATAAATATGGTGGATAATTTAAACTAGGTTTTGTCTGATAAAATGCTTAACAATAGGACCAACTGACAGACAATGGATTAAGACACTTTTCACAAAATGGAATTAATGAAATTGCATTTTCTCTTTGTATATACATTGGATGTGTTAATTAAGAAACTTAATAATCTAGGTTACTGGCATTGTAACATGAATGTTGAAGCTTTCTGCCTCAGTATTGTTTGAAATCTCTTAAACTATGTTTAGTTTGATTTAAAAAAAAATTTTGGTCTGAAAAAATAGGGTCTTGCTGGAAAAAACATCACTTAAGCTAAACATCAAAGTCACTATCTAAAAGAAAAAAAAATCGCTTAACTGGTGAAAATATTGGAAGTGAATCATTATTGTTATTTTGTTTCAGATTTCTATGCTTAGGAATAATATTGGCAGTCACCGTCTAGAATAAAGATCAATAATGTAAACCTTGTAGAAAACAGACATATAAGTAAATCATCAATTCATCATGGTTTTCAACTGCAATGTTTATGTTCATTATTTTCTTGTTTATTATTATGACTTCCATGATATTTCAATTGTTTGAGATCAGTTGGGTCATTGCCCTATCGATATCTAAAAAACCCTTCCGTCACATTTAAATGATCTTCATCAACTCTTTAATGTGATTGATGCTCTCTTGTTTTTGTTATTGAAATGATGAAGTAATTATTAAACTTATTAATGTGTTATTTGTGATTTTTATCAGATAAATATTTCAAGAGACAAAATTCGCAGAGATCACCGGAGAATACCCAAGAAAATTTGTATCAAAATAATGATAACAATGATGTACTTGCACGTCAAGATACCAACTCAAGAAATCTGACCACCTTACCAAAAGAACAACGCCCTAGCTCCAGAGGTAAATGATGTTGCATGTGTATTTATTAAGTTTATATATTTCATATGAAACGAAACATTTGTTAAAATACAGAATGCATGTTTTGCCTGGTTATGAACATGTAGATTATTAAAATTACTGTTTGGAAATTAACCCGTTTCAATTCTTACCAGAAGTAAACTTTTTCAATAAAAATGTTACAATTATTCTCTTGTTGATACTTATGAAAGATGAACAGATCTCTCTGAAATGGTCCACTGATACTGAGCATATTCAGGAAAACTCTGCATGCAAATCAGAAGGTATAGTGAAATGTGCTTATAATAGAAAAAATGTTGTCTTGCTTCATCCTCTTCCAAATAGCTTGATCTTGAACTTTGCTTACCTGCAATAAATGATCATTATAACATTAGTGGTCTCAACAGGAATTATTTGCTGAAGGATGGTTATTAAACTAAAACACGTGTGTGATGTTTTTTTATTTGGCAAGTGCTGGACAATTTGCTTTATACATCTTTAGTTGACCGATGTACTAATTATATGTTAAATTTCAAACTAAGTAAGCATCTGTACATCTGTTGGCGTGTGTTAGATTTGTTTGTCCGTGAAACTGGTGTGTTTATAGATATTGATAAGGACTTATTTTTTCGCATATAATGTCATCAAAGTTTGTGCGTCATTTTTGAGTTTTATTTCGTTCATGAAGAAAGTTGTTAAGTTCTGATAAAATTTTGCATGAGTGCATAAACATATGCTACGAGTATGAAGCTTATTAAATGTCATTTTAATTCAAAGCGTTTTCAGTAGTTATTGCCGTTTGGTATATTAGCATTTATTATTGAGGTATAAAACTCCTTTAGATATCAACTGTACATAGTTAAAATGAGTGAAATGTTACTGATTCCCTTCATGCTTTATTGCGTTATGGCCCTGCTTTATTGTACAGCATTATTACCTAAACCAAAACCGTACACACATGCTCATCATTTAAGTATTTGTTTAGAAAAACAACTCAGGAAAAAGGATATATTTTAGAATGTATTAGATATTTTAGAAAAACTGACACCATTAAAATTGCCATAGAAACCAAATTTGTACACACATTCATATTTTACATGGTAATTTGTCAATTTTAAATAAGATACCAAACTAACATTGTTTTCAAATCTTCAAAGTCAGAGATTTACGATTATTAATGCTAAATAGCATCAGTAAAATGATGTGAATTATACGGCTGATGAAGTGAGCTGT